TGCATTCTTGGCAATTCCTTCCTCTCTTCTCCTTCACTAACTCTATCTCTTAGCATTGCCCAGTTTCCTGTTTGAACCATCAATTAAGGTGTTTTTTTTTGTTGTTGTTGTTTCAATAGCTAAAATTATGTTCTTTTCAACAATTACCTTTTCCCCATTATGTCTGTTTCAGTTTTCATTTTTCTTTTATTCTTTTACATAAAACATTTATTTAGTATTCTGTTTCAGGTTGTTTTATTTTCTCAAATTTGGGGGGAAAACAACCTTCTAGTTTCTGGCATATGCCCACTTTCACTTATAGAGGAGGAAAAACTAATCTTCCCTCTACCTTTCACAATTCTTAGCTGAGACCCTTGTAACAAAAGACAACAGTAGTCACCTCTTATCTGTGGTTTGGGTTACTTGCAGTATAGTACAATAATATATTTTGAGAAAGGAAGAGAGAGAGCAACCACATACACATAACTTTTATTACAGTGCATTGTTATAATTGTTTTATTATTAATAGTTATTGTTGATCCCTTATTGTACCTAATTTAGAAATTAAGTTTTATGACAGATATTCATGTACAACTGACTCTTAAGCAATGTGAGGTTAGGGTTAACAACCCCTCACGCAGTTGAGCATCTGCATATAACTTTTGATTCCCCAAAAACTTAATTACTAACAGCCTACTGTTGACTGGAAGCCTTACCAATACACAGTCAATTAACACATTTTGTATGTTATATGTATTATATACTGTATTCTTATAATAAAGTAAGCTACAGAAAAGAAAATGTTATTAAGAAAATTGTAAGGAAGAGAAAATATATTTACTATCCATTAAGTGGAGTGGATCATCATAAAGGTCTTCATCAGTCTGCATGTTGAGTAGGTGAGGTGGAGGAGGAAAAGGAGGGGCTGGCCTTGCAGTGTCAGGGCGGCAGAGGCAGAAGAAGTGAAGGAAGTGGAGGGGAGGCAGGAGAGGCAGGCGTATTTGGTATGACTTCACACTTTCAGTGTTGAACTCATGGGGTTCTGGGTGGCCAGGGGCACTGTCCAACATCAAAAGGAGTTTAAGGAAGTCCCTTACTGGCAAGGTACTTCCTGACTTCAGGGATGAAGCACTGGTGCAACCAGTCCAGGCCACCTTTTTGTACAACGAGAAGACTGGCGGCTAGGATGTATCGTTTCCCTTCAAGCCTCAGATGTTAGTGGCTTTACAGATAAGGGCAGTCCTGATCCTAAACCTGACTGCATCTGCACAAAACACAAAACAGTAGAGGTAGCCTATCCCTTCCCACCTTAAATCCCTGCTTGCTTCTCTTCCTTACTAATAAATGTCCTTTGTGGACTTTTTTTTTCTTTTTTTAGAATGGAGTACTTTTGTCTGCATTAAAAACCTACACAAGGAGATTTTTTTTCTCCTCAATGATTTCCTTAATGGTGTCTAGAAACTCATCTACTGCCCCTTGGTTGGCAGGAGCTGCTTCTCCTGTTATCTTGGCATTTTTTAAGCCAGACCTCTTTCTAAAATCATCAAACCATCCTTTGCCAGCATTAAATTTATCAGCTTTAGATCTTTCATCTTCTTTTCACTTTAAGTTTTCACACAATGACTTCACAACCTAGAATCATGAGAGTCTACAGGTATGCCTTTCTTATAGCAATTCTGCACCCACGTAAAAGCTGCATTTCCAGTATGACATAAAAAGGTATTTGGCAAAAAGTGCAAGGGTTTTGCGCCTGCAGGTGTAGCTGCAGCACTGGTTCATGGATTCCCTTTCCTTTTTTTATAATGGTCTTTACACTAGACTCATTTATGTTGCATGGCGGGCAACTGCAGCTGCAGACCTCAATCTATGGTACCTATCAAGCAATTCAGCTTGTTCGTATAATGTCATGACTTTTCTCTGCTTCTTGGGAGCACTTCCAGCATCACCAGTGGCACTTTGTATGGGTCCCATGATGTTCTTCGAGGATCATAGTGTTGCACTGAACACGAAGAAAAGTATGTCAGAACTAGGAAAGATCATTTTTTATTGAAATGTGCAATTTACTGGAGGGACAAACTGCCCACATGGAGAAGATTAGTGTCACAAGATGTTTTAAGCTGATACTTACAACACTTGAGCTCCCCACAATGGTAATGAGAGGTGGCTATGAAATTATTGCAGTAGTATATATATATGTACTACAGTTAATTTTATGCAGGTAATGATTTAATACTGCATCTTTACATTTGTTTATATTTCTTTCAACTGCAAACGGCACTATGTACGGTTTGCGTGTGTGTAACTTTTGATAAATTTTAACTTTTCATAATAGATTTGTGTATATTTTATGGTATTAAATGATAACAGATTAACATCTACATATATTTTATGCATTCATGACATACTTAACTTTTCCTTATTTTCTTTTTTCAATATTTCTAGGCTAGGCAGTTTGTCAATGAGTTTTCTCAAATTGTGACAAATCTCCAAAAAATTTTCCATTTATTGACATAAATCCATGTATAAATGGACACCCACAGTTCAAAGCCATATTGTTCAAGGGTCAACTGGATAGGAAAAATCACAGGCTACATAAGGTTTTATATTATCTATGATTTGCATTCCCCCGCTGATGAAAAGGACTATTGCACGTTGGCGATATCCAGAGAAGATGAGCAAACCCCAGGGAGGTGGCCTAGAGTTCAGGCTTAAAAACCATCTTCAACTACAGGCAAAAGAGAGACAGCTGTGGGGAAGACCAGCTCTAGGGAGCTGACTGAGAAAACTAAAGTAAGCAAGAGTAAGGTCTGTTATGCAGATTTAAGTTGGTGCCTTCTCTATGGAGAAAAGTCTAGTAATTTAATCCTCCTTTTCTACCTAGTACAGAGAGGGAGACACTCATACAAATGGAGATTTTCTTCACAGATGTAAATTTCCCTTACAAAAGGGTAACTCTACTCTGTTTTTAGAGCTTCTCTCATGTCTGCTGTTTCTCAAAATAATCAGCTCAAAACAATCCTTATGCTAAAGTGGCATATTTTGGTGTAGCATATTCTGGTCTCCTACAGTCATATTTTGGGGTGGCATATTCTGGTCTCCTACACACTTGAGGTGGAATTTTCCCTTGTTTGATTTATAATGTATCGTAAGTGCCCTTTGGTAGGACTTGTTTTTCTCTGGAGGCATCAATGCCATGCCTCCCGAACGTGTTCTCCAGAATGATCTTCTATATGTCCTGCTTGAAACGTCAGACGTGTTGAAACTGTCCTCACAGGGTTAACGAGAATTACAAGCCAGGCTTTGGGCAGAATTACAGTGAGGTACTAATCGGGGTGCACCAGTACACTTCAACCCAGGTCCTTGCAACTGCTAACTAACCTAGAGTCATGCAGCGTGCTGACCACCTGCTGCCCCTTTATTCCTGTAGATGGAATCCCTGGTGCCAGAATCATAAGACCTTTTTGTTCATGAATTGCTCAAGGTGTTTTTCAGATGCTGTATTCCAGCAGAGTGGCTGAGGTGAACCAGTCTGAAGACCCCCACAAGGAAACCAACTCAGCGCAAGAATGCGGTTTTTTCACCTCCATCCCATGACTTCAACCCTCCTTTCTCGACCAATCAATGATCCCCACATCACCAGTCCAGACCCCTCATAACCCAACCCCAAACCTCTCGGGGAGGCGGATTAGAGGTTTCCCCCATCTCCCCGTTAGGCTGCTTGTGATTCTTAAACTCCCCATGTCGCAGTCAACTGACTTGCTGTGCATCGGGCAATGAGCCTGTTACGGTTCCAGTGACATCAGCTTGGGTCCAGTATTTATATTAATTTCTCATTCTGGACCACATAAGTATCGCAGGGGTTTAGATTTATCTCATTTTCCTCCATTTCTTATATTTTTCTCTGAGACCTTTCCCCAGTCCTCAGGTATCCAGTCCATGTGCAGCAGAGCCCCTCTCCCCTCCCCAGCCAACCCAAGACCACCAGAACATCAGCTCGTGCGCTGCCATTCTGGGGGTCCTACTCCTCTGCTTACAGACAGCTATGTTGTTTCTGCTTTTTCACTTGTACCTGGAAATTATCCTTCTGTTTTTTGCAAGCTCATCTATGATTTCAAAAATTCATTAAATTTTATTAAGTGATTTTCACAGGAGACATTTTCTATTATTTTAGGCTTCCATGTTGCTGGTCCCAGAACACCCTGACACCATGAAGGCTACAGCAGCCCAGGACTGCTATGGCTTGACCTATTGTATATAGGAGGAAAATAAACTTCTACCCTGTAAAGCCATCATTATTATAATATCTTGTGTCTTCTGTCACGCACAGTCAAAATAAATCCAGTTATACCTTTGACTATTTAGATTAGAGAATAAAAGACCAAGGGAAAGACACTGATATTTTCAAGTAACAGAAGAATAACCAGCTTTGCCAAAGAAAAGCACTGTGGAATGGTTGTGCATGGAGGGAAGGAAGACTCCCTTCACACTGAGGATATTGCTGACATCGTAGTGTGTCACCTTAGAACCCGCAGATGACTAAAAGCACCTCTAAAGTTAGCTTTCTACCTTTTAGAATTTCTCTACATCATCAGAAACATAATGATCCAAAAGCATTTTAAGAAAACAAGAAATAAAAGAAAGGTGAAATGCGAGAGGACGTTCATGTACCTTAATCACATATCCAGACGGTAGCACAATTTGTCGCATGTCCCCACCACCCCCGGCTCCTCAGGTGAAAAAGAACTAAATACTACCATCATGGTCCTGACACCTTCTCCACCCGGCTTTCACAGTCAATCTCAATATGAAAAACCTGTCTCGTAGTACTTATTATAAATGTATTCACCTCAAATTTTACATCCTAGTACTCCACTTCTACTGATGTCCCCTTGTCATGATTTAGAGACTCCAATCCAAACCTTATCACAAACTAAATATGTACATAGCGAGGCCGTTCCACGTGGAGACCTGACTAAACACACACAGCGCTGCTCACGCTTAGACAGAGTGACTGTGGTTACCTGGACTTCCAGCTGGCGGAGAATGGCTCCCGCCATCAGTGCTCAGAATCACAGCCAGCCCCACGGAGTCTGCCGGGAGGAGAGAGCTGCTGAGGTCCACGCGAGTTAAGCTCTGGGGCTCCCTCCGAGAGCCTCCCATGGGGCTTCCCAGGCTGCCTCTGCCAGTTGTGTTTGTTTCTTGACCTTTTCTCCACGGTCTCTGCACAATGTGAACGATGCTCTGCTGATCCAGGTCACAGTTCTATTTGGGAGCAAGGTAAAAAAAATAAATAAGAAAATGGCAAACATTAAATGCCAAATAGAGTTTAACTTCTCTTCAGTTCTAGAATGTGCAAACTATTCTAAAGTCTGTTTGTGTACAATTTCTACATGGAGCAATGGAACTGAAAGGCAAGGGTCATGTGTAATTGACCAGCTGAGGCACGCTGACCCTGCCAGGAGGACCACGGCGCTTCCCACCATACACGTTAGACAAGCAACACCCACCGGAGGCCAGAAATAGAAATCTGGGAGTAAGTGGAACGTGACAAAAAGAAAAAACCTAAAGTAATATTCAAACCAACATAAAATCTAGTAGGAAAAGAAACAACCACACTGGATCTACAAACACAGTGAGAAATAATATTCTTAAATTTTAAAACTGATTTACTTTAGAAATGATATGTCCTTATAACTGTCTAATTTAATTAGCCTTCATTTCTATTTTATAAAAGCACAGAAATTTAGTTATTGCCAACCCCAGGGCATCTGCAGAATTTAACGTAAACGTGCCCACAGTAGCTCCACCCCACCCTCCACCACTAGCAAACACGTGGCCACACCAGCGGGGACGCAGGGGAAAAGCACATTTGTGCCACCAGGGTTCATTTGTTCTTTCTGCCAACTTAACCATTAATATCAGTAAACATTTACAAAAATGTTTTGCACCCGTATATTGATGTGTATGAACAGGAGACTCTTTAAAATTTAGTAGAATAAAAACTAGAAGCCAGATTATTTGCTAGGACAAAAACTACACCACCTTAAATCAAATCCCAGTTTCAGAATATCTACTATAGTAAATGAAATAGCTACTCATCTACCTGCAACCCTCTTCGGTCAGAGCAAGGACCTTATTTTCTCAATAAATCTATGTCTTCAAATTATTTCTTGCCATTCTCTCTCATCCTAGGAATGCTCGAAGAACACTCTCAACCACACATTCACTGAAAGGTGAGATGCAACCATACTAATGACAACAATAAATTCTCCCCTCCCTTGCTGCTTCTTCAAGTTCTCTCGTTGCCATCACCATCAAAATCCTGCCGAGAGCAGTGTTGTCACTCACCAGCACCCCTTACCCTGCACACGACTGCTTGGCATCTGCCCCGTCCACTCAGGATGCCACCAGGATGCCCTTTGCCCTTAAATTCCATTCCTACGTCTTCCCTGTGCTTACATCCTCCCAGCTCCCATTGTCTGTCCAGGACAGCTCCTATCCAGCAGAGGTGACTGTCCATCATTCTCTGACACTAAGTCCTCCCCCACCTGCCTGCTGACTTCCCTGCTAAAGCACCACCCCCAGCACCAGGCTTCAAGCCTTCCCCTCCTCCATAAAAGCCTGATTATCCTCCTATGTTTTCTAATGGGCTCCAGTGGAATCATTGTCTTGGATTCCTCCTCCCCACCCTGATACCCGGCAAGGTACCAAGAGTTACTAACTCTGCCTCAGAAATGCCCTTCGCATCTTCATCTCCTCTACATTCCAATTGTCACCTCCCCGTTTTCCACCTTCATCATGACAATAGCTTTGTAATTACTCCCTTTACCTGTGGTTTCTCCCTACTCCAACCCATTACATGCAAGAATTCTCAGTGTGTGCTACATAATCCTTCTGAAGAGTGTCACTGTTACTTATTAAATAGAATCTAACATCTCAGATCTCCTTCAAGTGTGTTTATACTTTTCTTCTTTCTGGATAAACTCTCTTAAGATTTTTATCTTCTTTAGCGCTCCTATATGGTATATGTGGTAGATTATCTTCAAAAATATTCACCCCATACATTATAAGCATAATTGTTCTTCCTTCTTCCTCCCCTTGATTTTGTGCTCAACCATGTGACTGGGTTTGGCCAATGGGACATTAGCAGATGTGACTGAACCCGGGCCTTGTATTTTCCCCACTGCTAAGGCCTCTCAAAAAGAATGTCCCTGAAAGCTTCCACTTCTTCAAGGGCCCCAGAACTGCACATGTGGCACAGACCTGAGCCCCACCCACAGAGGGGACCAAGGGCAGCCACACCCATGGCATGAAGCAGAGCCTTCCTGCTGAAGCCAGGTGAGGGGGGGGGACCCTCAGCTTACCTGAAGACACATGAGATAGACATGCTTGTAATTTACAGATTGAGATTTTGCAGTTGTTTCTTAAACAGTAATATAGCAGACAATCTTCCATTTTCCATTCTATTTTGACCAGCAGACACCCTACCACTATTCAGCATCACCTCCATTCCCAGGCAGCACTCCAGGAATGACGCACAGCCTCTAGCCTAAGCTGTTTCAAACAAACCAGCATCGCGACCTGAATACACTCAAAAATGAGGACATGAGCTTTGCAACAAGGAGAAACAGAGTTGAGAATTAGCACCCTAACCCCGTGTGTTCTTTCCAAGGAGGCTCAAGAATTCAGTCAGATAAAACTCCTCTCTCCATCATCAGCATTTAAGCACTTCATGTGATCCTCCTAGATAAAAATAATACCTTTCTCTCTCATCTGAATCCAAAAATCTTTGCTTACTATGCTCTTATTGCAGTGGTTAGAGCTTGGACAGAATGTGTTTTGTCTGTGTGTGTGTCTGCATGTCTTTCTTACCTTCCAACTTAATTTAGAAATACTTAAGAGCAGCAACTGGGTCACATTTATATTTACCAAAACACCTCCCACAGCACTCCGAACCTAGTAAGTGAATATATATATATATATATTCATTTATGATGAATGAATGTATATGAATGAATATGTATATTCATTGAGAAATATATGTTAATTGAAAAAGTGAATGACGTATAAATGAATGAGTGAATATGAACAGTCGTGAGCTCAGTACCTAAAGCCCTCCAGGGAGAATCAGCAGGATGTGGAAGAACATGGAATTTTAAGTCAAGTAGACTCAAGCCAAACATAATTTATTAGCTGTATGATTTTGGCAAATTATTTTTCCTCCCTAAGCTTGTTTCCATCATTAACAATCATAGTGTCAGCTCTGAAGACTGTGCTGGAGATTTAAGGAAATGCAGAGTGAGATCCACAATACTAACACCTAGTTGGTAGTACTGGAATCATCTTTTATGAGTTTTGAAAACTAAAGAGGATGGGTCCCTGACTCTTTAGCTGCTACACTCACACAGTCCTATCTGGAAAATACATAAAGAAGGTAGAATAAGCAGAAGCTGTAAATGAGACAATCCCACTGGTAGCATTTCAGCTTCCTGTGAACTAAAAATTGGTACCAAAAAAAAAAAAAAAAACCAATCTCTATATGCTCAGATGCCATGGAACACATGAAGAACCTGAATGAATTTCAGGGGCAGAAATCCAAAAGATGAGTATCCTCTCCTTTCAAATACAGATTTTCATAATGCTCAGGGTAGAGTTGCAAAGGGGAATAGAAAGACCCTAAGCAGCTTTCAGTAGTTAGATGATATTTATAGAACATATTTCCTCAGTCTCATATTTCCTCATCCGTGGTTCCGAGATCATTAACTGCCACGTCTTCGACTCTCACAAAAACGTAGCTGCTCTCAGAAGCAGTCTCCTTGCCAGATGGTGCACTCACACGTCCTGCCAGTTCAGTTCCAAGCCATGTTAATAACTCACCCCATGGACAACAAATTGGATAATGTTCAGCTGTGCAGCCACTCAAAAGCCCCGGATAATATTTAGTTCTCACGGTATATACAAAAATTCCTCAGATTTGGGAGGTCGAGATTTTGGGAGGGGAGACTGCAGAGTGTTCCAATATGGTTTTAAGCTCCCTCAGGGCAAAAACAATGTCTTACTTATCTTTGTTTTCCAAGGAACTAACTCTTTGCCTGACAAAGAGAAAACACTTAATATAGTTTTTGCCCTTTTTCTACTAACTTATTAATCCCACAAGTAAGGCAGTGACGTAGGTGTTCAGTGTAGATAAAGCAAGTGGGTATCCACCTAACTGGGCTTGGTCTCGGGCTGCCCAGCACAGCCGTTAACCCCTCGGAGACGGTGGTCAGAGTCTCGGGCTCTCTCTACAGGACCTCGGACCTGGAGATGTCCCAGTACTCATAAATTATTCATGGCAGTTTTTGCCAAATACTGATCAACTCTCATTCAGCCGGCAATTACCCAAAAATATACAAAAATTGACATATTTTTCTTTCCCCAAAAAGAATTCCCTTTGATGATATGTAAGATCCAAATATTTGAGATTTTCCAAATACTTTAATGAAAGGTTACACAGATCATCTCTAACATGATTAATAATGAGATTCTAAGAGAGTTAATAATGTCACACTAACAAAGTGCTTCTGTGTGTTCTAACAATGATTACATTAATAATAAAATAAACAGATCATTTTTGAGCTCTATATTCCATATCGTATTACCAGGGTTTTAGATGTAATAAGCGTTTACTATTTCCTTAGTCCTGTGAGGGAGGAAGTGTTGCCATCTGCTAGGGTCTGAACGTATCCCCAAAATTTGTCTGTTGAAACTTAATTACCAATGTGATAGCATTAAGAGGTGAGGCTTGTAGGAGGGGATTTAGTCACTAGGTGGAACCTTCACGAATGTGATTAGTGCCTTATAAAGGTGGCACAAACGTTCATTTGTGTCCTTTTTGCCCTGCCCCTCTTGCGCCACGTGAAGAGGCAGCGAGAAGGCCTTCACCAGACACCAAACACCAGTGTCTTGATCCTGGACTTCCCAGCTTCAGAATTGTAAGAAACACATTTCTATTGTTTATAAATAAATTACTGAGTCCTCTGAGAAGAAGTGACACTTGACTGGGGCAGACAGCAGAGGCGAGGCTGCAGGGGCCCGTGGTGAAGAGCGGGGCTTTGGAAGCTGCAGTGGAACCACGCAGACACAAAGGAATGTTTATGAGAAGAGCCAGATACCTGAAATACTAAAAATGAGAGAAGACTGGGACTGAGCAAAAGAAAGAGTAGCCCGATTTGATTAAAAGAAACCAATAGATGAAAGTCAGAACGCCTGGCAGTGACGGG